CCCAACTAAAAGGCTTAGAGCCTACGTCGTCCAAACATACGTCTGTCACTTTGGGGTAGCTGCTACCACAGGCATCCGGCTCCTAGACCACTGCGGTATTTACATATACCCCTACCGCTCCCTTACCGCCTAGCCCACGCCTTTCCCCTTCCCCCATTCCGAAGGCCTGTAATCTACGCCGTCCCCATATCAATCCCCGCAGTCCCGCTCCCCTTTCCGCAAGCTTACCGAATTCGACAATTCCTCCATCGGCTGTTTCCATTTCCGCCTGCTTCACAGTCTTCTGTCCCTCCCAACCGGCTTTGTTAGTTGACCTGATATGCCCTTCCCCGCGGGTGGTTCATGTCGCCCGTTACCAGCTGCAGCGATTCCTACTTACCGTCTACCGTGGCCGGCAGCGGCCTCAGACAGTCTCTACGTACCTCCCAGTTCCCGCTCTAAAGGCCTTCCGTAATCACTCCCTTCCTGACCTACAAGGGTTTATCGACGAGGCTTAGTGGACGTCATTGCATTATTCTACGTACGTATATATGTTCACGTATCAAGCCTCCAAGGTTGGTCGATTAGTCGCAATCCTTACCGTGCGATGATGGCTACGTTACCACTGCTAGAGACAGCCACCCATCCAACAGACAACGTCCGTTCAATTCCCCCATTAGTGATCCATAGACACCTATCAGCTAACGCAGCCCTTAGGATGACAGTTATTCAACTGCTTAGCACACCTTACCTCATTCCGGAGGCTTAGCAGTACCGTAATCAATAACAACGCTTTAGACAAATAAAATATTTACTCCGAATTATGAAAAGGAACAATACACAGGACATACTGCCAGGTGGGGGAAATCGTCCCCGACAGCCTTGGGCAGCTGGTTTGCCACAACAGTAACATTCAACAGTTAGGTGTACAGTAAAAAGGGTACGCGTCGACGATTGGCTCTCCTCATTCGACAGCTCCCTCTTTGACCGGCCGGTAACGCCCAAAGCACTGTAGGTAGGCATGGAGAGTAAGTGGACGAAGTACAGAGTCTTACCTTCCAGTCTATCGTCTGTGCCTTCTTTGGTTAATTTCTCCAATCGTCGATGGTTGGCTCTCCTCATTCGACAGCTCCCTCTTTGACCGACCGGTAACGGCCACAGGCACTGTAGGTAGGCATGGAGAGTAAGTGGACGAAGTACACAGACTCATACTTTCCAGTCTTCCATCTGCGCGTTCGTTGGTTAGCTTCTCCAACCGTCCATGGTTGGCTCTCCTCAATCGACAGCTCCCTCTTTGACCGGCCGGTAACGGCCACAGGCACTGCAGGTAGGCATGGAAAGTAAGTGGACGAAGTACACAGACTCATACTCTCCAGTCTTCCATCTGCGCGTTCGTTGGTTAGCTTCTCCAATCGTCGATGGTTGGCTCTCCTCATTCGACAGCTCCCTCTTTGACCGGCCGGTAACGGCCACAGGCACTGTACGTAGGCATGGAGAGTAAGTGGACGAAGTACACACTCTTACCTTCCAGTCTTGCGTCTGCGCCTTCGTTGGTTAGCTTCTCCAACCGCGGACGGTCGGCTCTCCTCAATCGACAGCTCCCTCTTTGACCGACCGGTAACGGCCACAGGCACTGTAGGTAGGCATGGAGAGTAAGTGGACGAAGTACAGAGTCTTACCTTCCAGTCTCCCGTCTGCGCGTTCGTTGGTTAGCTTCTCCAACCGCGGACGGTCGCCTCTCCTCATCCGACAGCTCCCTCTTTGACCGGCCGGTAACGGCCACAGGCACTGTAGGTAGGCATGGAGAGTAAGTGGACGAAGTACAGAGTCTTACCTTCCAGTCTATCGTCTGTGCCATCTTTGGTTAATTTCTCCAATCGTCGATGGTTGGCTCTCCTCATTCGACAGCTCCCTCTTTGACCGACCGGTAACGGCCACAGGCACTGTAGGTAGGCATGGAGAGTAAGTGGACGAAGTACACAGACTCATACTCTCCAGTCTTCCATCTGCGCGTTCGGTGGTTAGCTTCTCCAATCGTCGATGGTTGACTCTCCTCAATCGACAGCTCCCTCTTTCGCCGGCCGGTAACGGCCACAGGCACTGTTGGTAGGCATGTAGAGTAAGTGGACGAAGTACACAGTCTTACCTTCCAGTCTTCCGTCTGCGCCTTCGTTGATTAGTTTCTCCATATGTCCATGGTTGGTCCTCCTCAATCGACAGCTCCCTCTTTGACCGGCCGGTAACGGCCACAGGCACTGTTGGTAGGCATGGAGAGTAAGTGGACGAAGTACACAGACTCATACTTTCCAGTCTTCCGTCTGCGCGTTCGTTGGTTAGCTTCTCCAACCGTCGATGGTTGGCTCTCCTCAATCGACAGCTCCCTCTTTGACCGGCCGGTAACGGCCACAGGCACTGTAGGTAGGCATGGAGAGTAAGTGGACGAAGTACACAGTCATACCGTCCAGTCTTGCGTCTGCGCCTTCGTTGGTTAGCTTCTCCAACCGCGGACGGTCGGCTCTCCTCAATCGACAGCTCGCTCTTTGACCGACCGGTAACGGCCACAGGCACTGTAGGTAGGCATGGAGAGTAAGTGGACGAAGTACAGAGTCTTACCTTCCAGTCTCCCGTCTGCGCGTTCGTAGGTTAGCTTCTCCAACCGCGGACGGTCGCCTCTCCTCATTCGACAGCTCCCTCTTTGACCGGCCCGTAACGGCCACAGGCACTGTAGGCAGGCATGGAGAGTAAGTGGACGAAGTACACAGACTCATACTTTCCAGTCTTCCATCTGCGCGCTCGTTGGTTAGCTTCTCCAACCGTCCATGGTTGGCTCTCCTCAATCGACAGCTCCCTCTTTGACCGGCCGGTAACGGCCACAGGCACTGCAGGTAGGCATGGAGAGTAAGTGGACGAAGTACACAGACTCATACTTTCCAGTCTTCCGTCTGCGCGTTCGTTGGTTAGCTTCTCCTATCGTCGATGGTTGGCTCTCCTCATTCGACAGCTCCCTCTTTGACCGGCCGGTAGCAGCCACAGGCACTGTAGGTAGGCATGGAGAGTAAGTGGACGAAGTACACAGACTCATACTTTCCAGTCTTCCGTCTGCGCGTTCGTTGGTTAGCTTCTCCAATCGTCGATGGTTGGCTCTCCTCATTCGACAGCTCCCTCTTTGACCGGCCGGTAACGGCCACAGGCACTGCAGGTAGGCATGGAAAGTAAGTGGACGAAGTACACAGACTCATACTTTCCAGTCTTCCGTCTGCGCGTTCGTTGGTTAGCTTCTCCAATAGTCGATGGTTGGCTCTCCTCATTCGACAGCTCCCTCTTTGACTAGCCGGTAACGGCCACAGGCACTGTACGTAGGCATGGAGAGTAAGTGGACGAAGTACAGAGTCTTACCTTCCAGTCTTCCGTCTGCGCGTTCGTTGGTTAGCTTCTCCAATCGCCGATGGTTGGCTCTCCTCATTCGACAGCTCCCTCTTTGACCGGCCGGTAACGGCCACAGGCACTGTACGTAGGCATGGAGAGTAAGTGGACGAAGTACAGAGTCTTACCTTCCAGTCTATCGTCTGTGCCTTCTTTGGTTAATTTCTCCAATCGTCGATGGTTGGCTCTCCTCATTCGACAGCTCCCTCTTTGACCGGCCGGTAGCAGCCACAGGCACTGTTGGTAGGCATGGAGAGTAAGTGGACGAAGTACACAGACTCATACTTTCCAGTCTTCCGTCTGCGCGTTCGTTGGTTAGCTTCTCCAATAGTCGATGGTTGGCTCTCCTCATTCGACAGCTCCCTCTTTGACCGGCCGGTAACGGCCACAGGCACTGCAGGTAGGCATGGAGAGTAAGTGGACGAAGTACACAGACTCCTACTTTCCAGTTTTCCGTCTGCGCGTTCATTGGTTAGCTTCTCCAATAGTCGATGGTTGGCTCTCCTCAATCGACAGCTCCCTCTTTGACCGGCCGGTAACGGCCACAGGCACTGTAAGTAGGCATGGAGAGTAAGTGGACGAAGTACAGAGTCATACCTTCCAGTCTTCCGTCTGCGCGTTCGTTGGTTAGCTTCTCTTATCGTCGATGGTTGGCTCTCCTCAATCGCCAGTTTTCCCATCGCCAGTAGGTAACGGCTGCATTCCCAGTAGGTAGGCTTGACGCCGTATTTTACGCCTACTAACAGGAGTAAACATAACTGTGAGTAAAATGAGACACAAGGGAACACAAAGACAAAGACCGTTAGGGTAGGCAATGTCAGCGTAGAGCGAGACACGGCGTGTGCACTGCAGCGTGAGAGAGCAAAAAGTGGCACCGGTAGGAGCCAGAGGACTATCGGGCACCGAAGCTAATCGATAATCAAGTGCAACTACGCGCGGCCGCTTGCGTCCTTCGCGACGCCGGCGCAGCCGACCCCGGGACCCAATCCAAACCGCGATCAGGCTATAGACCCAATACCCCTCCCCCCCCCCACCTCCAACCCCAAGTACACCGGCTCACGGCGAGCTCGCTTGCTATTAGGGTTCCCCTTTAATCTGCTCCAGTAGGCCTCTATGGCGTTCGTATGCCGTCCCGTTGTGGGATTCACGAAGCCCCTACGGTGGTTGACAGTGCAGTGCGTATAACCGTCGGACGGTAGGCGGGTGTAACCCTTCCACACTACCTTATGACGGGCCTCAAGGCCTCCCAGCTGCGGTTGTTAATCTGCTCAAATAGGGCTTTCCGCCTGCGTGAATTGTACATACTTACGACCCAAAACTGCCGCCGCGGTCGTTCCCTGTTATGTTTGCGGCGACTTATGAGCGTCTCGTCTACCTGTACTTCGACGCCTGGTACACCAATTTGGGCTACGGCGGATAACTTTAAACTTAAAAGGGTTACGTAGGCCTATAAACTGCTCTCACCATGCATACTTACAAATCGCGTAAAACAGCGACCGCCAAGTTCGGGAGTTTGCCGACTTGCTGTATGTTGGTGCGGTGGTGTTGGAGTACGTCCAGGTATCCTAAACATTGTTTGCGTTATGCGTATTAAACGGTGCATGCGGTGGAGATCACCGACTTAACAAATGGGGAGGGGTTGAGGAGGGGGTCAGTAAGAGGCTGGGAAGTGACGCAATTGTCATAGGCGGTTTATTCAAATACTCTTACCCAACCGCAGTACACCGCTGTCCCCTCGCGTCTCCCTTGCTCATCGTCCGTTGTCTGTCCACCTAATGCACACCACCTTCAAATGCGGCGCCAACGATCCCATTGGTTAGCCGCTTGGCGGTTCAGGTTTACTCGCCCCGGCCGCCAATCACATCACGTCCCCAGTCAGCCCTCCTTCGATTGGTCATTGCCTACGCTTTTCCCTATTTGCGCGCCATCCTCCCCCTATTTTTGACTTCATTAAAACAAATATTTATTTTTCTGCGATTTCCAACATTTTTTGGCTTCCAACTGCACATTCAGTGCCCTTTGCCGTTTGCCCCGCCCGGTCTTCCCCTCAAAACCGCCATCCCGTTGTACCCGACCCACCTAGAGAGGATTTCTCACTGTGGCCGCCTGTTGGGCTTCCGCCCAATTTTGTTTTGGTAGGACTTCCCAGGCGTATAAGTCTGTCCCGCTGGACACGTGACTGATTCTGTTGACACAGTTTATAGGTGCTCAGTTCCTCTTCAAGAAAAAAAAACTACAGCCAAAGCACAGATGCCAGTCAGACGAATAAACGGTGGCAGGCGTCAGTAGATGTGTTCATTGGCGCCGATTTGTTCAAACTGACGCACACGCCTGCATTGGGGTACATTCAAACAACCACTGCTAAGAATTTACGCGCGTGAAACCATTCGAAAGGCAGCTGTCTTCCTATTGGTTACGAAGAACGCATTTATTCACACACTCGGTGCCAACGCTATTTACCTACACAACATGTGGATTGTGGTGCTGACAGCTGTCCTCCTCAACGTCACACCGACAGCTTACGGGTATGTTAGTATATTACACTATATGCCAGTTGTAACCCATCTAATCAAAGGTAACAAAGTTCGCTCAAAGCGTCCGTAACTCACAGAACACCCGCCGTACATTCTCGAAGTTCTGGCTGTATCAAAGAAACCACCATTCCTCGCAATATGGAATAGTTTGATCTAAAAATTATTCGTTATTAGCTAATAATATTTTTTTATTGAATACTGGTAATTTATAGGTGATGGTATTTCAGGCTGTCAGGTGTCGACTATTTCGGAAAGTTGCATCCGGTAAAGTTTGTTCGGTCGGATCTTATTTCGTAGCCCTACCTGCAGTTGAAAAGCCCCAGTCTAACCCTTACCCCTAACCACTAACTCCTAACCTCAACCCCTAACGACTGACCCCTAGCCATAAACCTTAGCCCCTTACTCCTCGCCTTGACCCCCAACACGTAACCCCAACCCCTAACCCTGACACCTATGATGTAGGACTACGAAATGAGATCTTGCCGTTTGTTTTCATGCATGTTTACCCCGCCGACTTCAGAGGCTTGTAAAAACTAAAACCTTATTCCAAAAGCAAATGCTCTTCCAAAATGAAAGCCTGTAATCAATATACTCACTAGGTCGGACACTCTTCGGACATCAGACAAACCCCTCCCGGTGAACGCCCCCTCTTCTTTTGATAAAGAAATTTCCCTAATCACTTTCCTATTTGAACATAACCTTGTCCTAGCATTTTTCTTACGAAAACCGGACTCCTTCATTCATTTTGTTATTCGCCCTCTCAGGAAACATTGACAGGTTTTCCCATGGGCATATACTGGTGCTTTCTAATGTATGAAGAAAAAATCGTCCTTTGCCTGCTTGTAGACCCCTTTTGGTCCGGAGAATGACCTGACTAATGTTGAAAATACTCGCTAGCGACTCACACGACAGCCCTTTGCTGTTATTTATCGTATATTCCCAAAGTCGACGACCGACAGAAACTGCCCCGAAATTTTTATTGTACAATATGACGGAGTAAGGTGACAGCATGGCGCATGCTCTGCTATATGTATGTATATAACTTCCAGGTGGCATTTATTTTCGTGTCCAAACCTTAATTTTAACCATAACCCCAACCTCAATGTAAGTACCATGCCCCAAGAAAGCCGGACCTCTCTGCTTTTGCGAAGTTACTGGTCAACCCCACGACGGTTCACAGACGCGAAATTTTGTTTTTCATTGTTAGTCTGATGACTTTTTAAAAATAACAGCCAATAAGAATCTTCAGGGAGCATAGCTTCGGAAGAAATTACTAATGCCTTCCTTCGTCTTGACACAATAGTAACACAAGGCACCAACGTTCAGCTGGAGAAAAGCAGACGTCGAGGATTTTCATCTCATTCTGGGGTGAAAACAGCTGAGCACTTTCATGAGAGGATGGGTTTATGTGTTTAGTAAAGTTTTCTGGGTGTTATTCAACGATCTATAATTTTGCCATGCCATGCAAATCTGTTTTGTTGAGTTCGCGAATTCCATATCATTTAAAAGTGTCGAAAAGTGGAAAGTTGTGGGAGAATATAGACTCTGCAAATGTTCACTGTCGTGCATGAGGTACTTTTTGTTATTCATAACAGGGAAACCCGGTTGGATCAACTATTCACGAACCTCTGGAACAGCGATAAGGACAGGATCGCTGTGGGTCCCGAATTACAACTTAACTGGCAAGGTAAGCCCGTTTTAAGGGTGTTTGGGACTCCTATTGAGATTTATATGACATACTTTTGTACTGAAAGGCAGCTTCGTAGCGATAGCTCCAAGTTAATGTCATTATTCCCGACACTTTGATGAGAAGCCCTTTAGCCGTAGGCCGATACATTTTGAAGAACACAAGTAAAGCGGAGAATAAAGATAGGCATGTAACCTGCCGGCCTCGTGAACAGTTTGTTTACTTATAAGCTCGCGTTCCAAAGCACGGATTTGGCTACCCATTGTGGGTGACTGAAGAGGCCTGTGCACGGCTCTGTTTTGAGAGCACGTTTGTTGTGCTCGCCCTGGTGCTTACTTTGCCAACGACAGGCCGCCAATCGCTATCGACGATGGCCGTCATGCCTCCGACAGAAGACTGAACGCAGGACCGTGACATGCGCGTGAATTAGTTTATAGTAATGGTGGACTTGCACAGCATGTACCGCACTTTCTCCTCCCTCACTCACCCGGGCCCGATGGTAAGGCAAGGTCGGGACAGCTGGAAGGTGTGGCTTGGACGCAGTAACTGACTGAGTTAAACGGCTCGTCTATGAGTGCCACACACCACCTGATCCCCGCGTAGTGAACTGGGGTTCCACAGACAGCTGCTCCGTTGTTATTACCGACAAGAACAAAGGAGACTGGAATGACCATTTCTGGCTTATTAGCCGTCGTCAGCCAGTCATACTTAACCCCGAAGTGTGGAACACCCGGAGCTCGAACTCGCGACCAATCAGTTAGAAGTCCAGCGCCTCCAACCCCTGAGCCACGGGCTCGTTGTCCTGTCGGTTTCGATTGGGAATATGTCATGGTAGAGGGGTGCTCACCGATCGTTCTCACTCGTCCCGTTGTGCCCTGCGGGCTCTTCGATCTCACGTTCAAGAGAGTGCCACGAAGGTTGCCTTTAGAAGAAGCCACTGCTACCTGACTGTGGTTGAAATGGACCGAATCACTCAGTCAGTTCACGGGCCACGACTTTTAGCGTGTCCTAATAGATTCAAGTACGGCAGATTTCATAAAGTAAGGAATGCGATGAAGCGTCGTGGGGATGGCTTCCCGGAGTTTGCCTAAATCTCCGTCCAATCTGCCGTGCCAGCCCACTGTCCGATCCCGTTAGACATCTGGTAGGCGTAGAGATTGGCGCCTCGTGAGCCTGCGCATAAAAGTGTCACCGCATCCCCACGTGAAGCATTTGTTATGGGATGCGCAGACTCTGCGTTGCCTGGTTAACGCGTACTGTGACCCAGACTGACATCCGTCTTGCTCCAGCGCGGTCAATACCGCCTGTGCGCTAGACACAGGCCACCCTTTGTCAATGCTTCGTGTGACTCCTGTATTCATGGCTCGAGCATACCCGTCTGCACTGTTAACAATGGGAATTTCGAGTTCGGCTTAGCGGTAACTTCAAATAAGAGGCGCGGTTGCCTATCAGACGGATCTCCTATGCGGAATACGCGGACCTCCGGCCCGGAGGTCCTGCAATCAACCGTATAACGAAAAACCATCAGTAAACAGAAAGCTTTGTTGAAGAAAACTAAGGGACAGGAAGAGCCCGACAGAATCTCTGCAAGATCCGCATGTGGAGCTTAGATTTGGTCGGTTATCGCACCAAATCCTATCCAATTTAAGCTAAGAATTTGTGGGTTGCTTTCAACTATATTAAAGTATTGCAGCGTCTTGGATACATGCATAGACACTTTGAATGCGTCAGAGGTAGAGGTGGTTGGGGCAAATATACCGGCGGTTCGACTGGCTGTTAACAGCATTCCTTCAGTAGCCGTCAGCAATACATCCTTCTCAGGCTGAAGGAAGCCACGATTTCAACCGGGGTTAGTAAGTATGCCCTAACAAAAACCGGGCGCGTATCAAAGTCATATTGGGTTTGAAACCACATGTCCGTTCGATGAACCAATCACATCGCACGCAAACTTTCTGTCCCGGTACATGGATGCATTTCAGTCCTATGACAAACTTGAAATAATTTGCTTGCCCAGTTGGGACTTACATTTCATTTAATTAAGTCGCAGAAGTATTGACATGTATGCGGGAGTAGCTTAAAGCTACGGCTGCCACATGCGGGTACCCAGAGACAAGTAATCACTAACTGTAAGGTGTACTGCCAAAGACAAAGGGGTCTAGTGCGACCGCATCTGCTTTGTTACTGCTGGCAGTGAACTATACTCCAGTTCAAAACAGTATGATTCGTGATAAGCGTAGAAGACGCGTGAAAGTATGGTTAGTCTGACTTTAACTATTAAGCAATCACTCGACGAAGCCCTCAACGTTCAAGATATTCCGCCCAAATACACGCATCAGGTGATTTACACCATTATCCGTCTGTATTATTGATCCAGATAAGGGCACTTGTGATCTACACCAATTTATATTTTGCAATAAAGATACTTCTGCACCAAGCACAATGCTATTATTGTCTGTACTTGAAAATATTACAAAATAAAAATGGAAGTTTAAACCAGTTGCCATAAATCTACTAACCTCGTTAGAGAATCAACATTAGTTCAAGGCCTTAAATCTTCTGAGAGGCGATGCAAATTCGCTTGCCTAAATAGGGCAAACAGTGGTAGAACGGCGTCGCTGTTGTGCCTTGGGGTTGTCTTCCGAGCCCAGCCAGCAGCCGCACAGCGACAACTAATAGGACAACGAGCCCATGGTTCAGTCGTTAGGGGTGTTGCACTTCACACCAACAGGTCGCGGAATCGAGCCCCATGTGTTCCTCACCCCGGAGTTGGGTATGAATGGCTGATGACGGCCAATAAACCAGAAATAGCCATTCCAGTCTCTCTTGTCTTTGTCTGCAATGATATTCTTCCTAGACAAAACAAAAAGACTGTTCCATGTTTCATCCCGAGATGCATGAATTCCTACAAGTAATCTGTGGTCATAATTGTCACATGTTTAGCATCATCATCTCGAAAATTCATTAAAAGTACAATGTTGTGGAGCCGCATTAGGACCAGGTAATTTTACCGCATTCAGTTAACTGACGTCCGACTTGAAACAAATGCCGCAAGGTGCGAGGGGATTTATTATTTCCCAGGCAGAGTGATGTATCTAATAATTTACAGTGCATGATCGATCTGATGAAATGTTGACCAAAATTCTGAAATGCGTTTTCGATTAGGAAGGATTACTTATGTGGGGTTGTAATGTTGCTTATCATGCGCCAAAAATCCGTGGTATTTCGGACTTGCCATGATGTCTGCTTTTGAATGCATTTCTTTTCGACCGCATACAGAAGCCATACTTGGTAAAAAATGACTACTTAAGGAGCATGTATTTTTCTCATCGATTTTCGATAATCTTATAAATTCAAATATTTATATGGAAAACACGCACAGAATATGCTTTCTTTTGTCTGTTTGGTAGAAAACAACGTTGTCTTTACATTTTATACCTGAAGAAAGCACATTTTTAGGTTCTGGAAAAGTTTCCCGATTCCCCAAGAATTTCAGGCCAGGTCAGCCGTTGCATTACCATTTGGCGATTCCAGTCTACATGTTGTATGCTTTCCGTACAAGAAAAATCATATATGGCTTCACGCCTTTAATTAGATACTATGTTGATTTCATAAAATTTGGTAATGGATGTGGATTATGTTGTACGTCTCACGAGGAGCACTGGTAAACGGAGATGTGCGACGCTGTACGTATTGACATGGTATAGTCTTCAAAATCTCATAACTAGAAATTTTTTCAGAACCTAAATATGTGTTTTCTTCGGGTATAAAATGTAAAGACAATGTTATTTTCTACCAAACAGAGAAAAGAAAGCATATTATGTGCGTGTTTTCCATAAAAATATTTGAATTTATAGGATTATCGAAAATCGATGTGAAAAGTACATGCTCCTAAAGTATTCATTTTTTTTACCAAGTGTGGCTTCTGTGTGAGGTCGAAAAGAAGAGCATTCAAAAGCAGACATCCTGGCGCGTCCGAAATACCATAGCATTTTGGCGCATGATAAGCAACATTACAACCCCACATAAGTAATCCTTCCTAATCGAAAACGCATTTCAGAATTTCGGTAACATTTCATCAGATCGTTCACGCACTGAACTGAAAGAACGGAGTATGAGACCGTAGACCTATGCCAAAGTGTCAGGATTTCGAGCTTTATTTTAATGCCTGCCCAACTTCAGTCCGGGGCGGCCATGATCTGAGATACGCTTGATTGAATGAGACGGACGCTCAGGAAGTACCATGCTGGCACGCCTGTCTTTGGAAGCTAGTTTTTGTAGTTTTAAACTGCCGGCCTGATCCGAAGTCGCTAGGCTGGAACAGTTTAATGTCAGTCCAAGTCAACTATACCCCTGGTAATATTGGAGGACTTTCTGAGATCTCCGTGGCCTCCTTCCTCGTCCACCGGAAATGAGATGGTAAAGTGGAAGATAACAGTTTGACTAGGCAAACGATTTTCACATCCAAGCCAGCGGCAAATTTGATTTTCCGAATTAGTAGGAACACCAAATGCAGTTGACCGTTCGACCGTCGTGCCAGACGATGGTCAACTGTTTGCTCCACAGCAAGGCGGGGCAGGCAGGATGATTTGCGCGTGAATTAGTTTATAGTGCGCAGAATCTACCGCAGTCTCTAGTCCCCACCTGAACCCGTTGACAAGACTGAGTCAAGGAGACAAGAGGCGGGAGATGGAGCAGGTGGCTGGCGCAGCCGGACCCGCACTTAGGCGTACCACCAACCCCCCCCCCCTGGTCCATAACAAATATTTGACCAGGATTTTGACCAAAAACAATAAAACAAGGGGACATAGGAAGAGGATGAATGGGCAACCATGCGCACACGACCTGTACACCCAGCGGAAGCGCAAACGCATCTACCAGCAGGGAACCAAGTGGCGGAGAACTACCAGTACACACCCAGGATGCGAGAGCCATGATTTGCTGATCCTGACATAGCAGATGCTTGCACACCTCGCTTCGGCGGTACATATACCAAAAATGAAACGATACAGAGAAGATTAGCCAGCCCCCTGCTCAAGGATTGGAGGCAAGTGCAGTTAGTGAAAAAGTAAAAAGTGCGCAAATTTGTTGACCTAAAAGGCGCAGTGTACCCAGTGAATTCGAAACTAATTCAACGGTCAATGAATCCGATGTATTTACTTTTTAATAAGGCAACACGAGTAATTTACACACGGACTAACCTCACAGTCGCTCTTATGATCAGGTAGACCGTCTACGCCTACCGATGTACTTGTCTTTTGAGGTATGTTCGGTTATGTAGTTGCTGGATTTGGCGTAGGATCAATGAACTGTTTTGATCATACATTTGACTTGATTTAGGGCTTAACAAGAGTCTCAAGGCTTTCATCTTTTTGGTGGAGATCTTCTGCCAGTTATAATCTTACAAAACAGAGAATAAGCAAGTTTTGTTACTTCGTCTTAAAAGCGCCGTCTCCCGTAACGATTGATCAGTTCTCCATGGGGTGCCAGAGACGACGAGACTAGGGGCCAAGTGTGCATGTTACCCGACCCATGAACGTCATAATTCTCCTCCGAGACGTAAAAACTAAATTTGCTGAAACCAAGTCGTCCATAGCAGTGGTTGCGTACTAAAATCTCATTTTGAATGGATTTGGATAGTGGATATTATAGCACTTCCAGCCTTCTTCACAGATCTACTGTGTGTCCGAATCAGTTCTGTCGCCTCGACCTCACTCATAAGCTAGCGGCTTCATACTGATCCTGTACCATAAGTACCCTTTCTCCCTGAATAATGTTCTTTCATACAAATTACTTCCGATCACGAACTACGCCTGAATCTTCTCCGTCTCTTTATAATCTGTAAACAGCTTGACATCCATTGTTTGCCTTAATTTTTCAAAAAAAGGTTGAACACCCGGCAAAGAGTTATTGTGTGTAGAGGTAAAATATGAGTAGGTAGGTTGTAAAATCATGGCGTTCCTGTGATTCAGCCCATTTCGTGACTTTTTAATCGGCCAAAAGAGTGGCAGACGACCATGTTCAAGAGTCTTAGTGAAGGCCGTCAACACGGCATCACGGTCACCTGGTTTGGCTGCAGGCCAAATTCCTCTTCACACAGCAGTTGCGAAAAGGCCCCGGACTGCAACAGTTAACGAAATCATAGGTGCGAGTGATGACGTCAGGAGACGAGAGCCTGCGTTCACAACTAATTTTATGTGACTCTCCAGGGCGCGCTGTTCTGTGGCCTGTATAGAAGACAGAATAGACACACCGCGCTTTCTCCTGTTTCTATGGCCTAGAGGTTTATTTAGTTGACCCATTGCTATATGTGGTCAGTAATCGGAAAGCATTTTCGATAAGGAAGGACTAGCGCCATCCTTACTGGTTAATTTGATGCTATTGGTCGGCCACACTCAAGTTTCAGATTAGGGTCCAACTAAACAGTGAGCTTCTGCATCATCTTCCGCCGCTTTTTCTAGAGATCCCGGCATTAAAAAGGACGACATTTGACAGATTCCGAAGTGTAGGTCCAAGATCAGAATGAACTTCGAAGTCTTAAAGTTCTACTACTAGGTTCGAAATTAAGTTTTTGCAGCGATTTGAAAAATAAATTGTCACCAAACGCATGCTGTCACGTAACGGGGTGTCGTTCGTTTTAGCTGGGTCCAGCGCCCGTGTGCTTCCGCGAGAGGCTAACCAATCAGGACGCTGTAGGTGAACAAAGGTACGGTTATGCCTACTTGCGATGCCGCGGGCAAGAGGTTTGGGCAACCGTTCAGTATAAGACTTCTATTTCCTACCTTATGCATCACATGCCACTCCGGGTAGGCGAGATTTTTGCCTACACAGTTCGTCGACGGAAACATACTTCAACCTCCTCGAGCAAGGATGTAGAGCCTGCGCCTCCCGGAGCGGGTTTGGTCAAAAGGTCTGGGAGCGTGTGCTATGCCAGTATCAGCAAACCATGGCTCTCGCAGCCTGGTATGCACTGGCAGTCCCCTGACACCTGGTTCCCTGTCGGTAGGTGCGCTTGCGCTCCCGCTAGGCACACAGGTGGTGGGCATGGCTGCCCAGTCATCCTCGTCGTTCTGGCTGCTGTTGGGGTGTTGGTGCTGTTGGTATTGTTGGCGAAAAATCTTGGTCATTTGCTGTGTGGGCCAGGAGGTGTGATGGCACGCCTAGGTGCGGCTCCGGCCGCGCCAACTACCTGCGCCCTCTCCCCGCCTCCGGTCTTCTTGACCCTGCCTTGACAGCGGGTCCAGGTGGGAGTGGAGAAGAGAGAGAGAGTGCAGTAGATGCTGTGTAAGTATACCATCACTATGAGTTAACTCACGCACAAGTCACCGTCCCTGCTCCGCCTTGCTGTGGAGCACACGGTGGACATCGTCGAAACTGACGGCCGAACGCTTGAGTGCGACCCGGTGACGTGCGCATCCATCGCACTCTCGATTCCAAACCCACTGATGTAAAGCTAGTGTCTGCGTTTGAACCTTTGTGCTTCCAAAAAACTCCTACAGAGACCGGATGCAGTTCGTTGGATCGTTACGGTCTCTAGTTGCCAGAGATGGCCTCGATACACATGAAGATGCGCTCATCCGTTGATTACCAGCAAGATTCCGGACTTCAACCCCGACACCAACCTCGTAAACATTCGGCCAAACAGTTTAGCTTCAGTAGAAAAAAACGCTCTCCTTTGGCAATATGCGTTTATATGGTTACTTTTCATACCCTTACAAATCATGCATTGTGTCACTTCAGGTGAGGTATCACGTAACGACCGAGGGAAGGACCAGTCAGCTGCGAAGCTCTGCGAAGTACAGGCTAAGAAATTGAGCAGTTCGCCAGTGTATTCTAGTAAGTACCCCCTTCACTCCACATTCCGTTTATTCCTCCACGGTCGTCTTTATTACACCTACTGAAATTAATAATAATACAAAAAGGATAAATTACAGACTACCTACTGAAATCAATGATAGTACGAGGGTGGCAAATTGCAACATTTCTCTCCATACTAAAAGAACAATCTGACAAAATGAGCGCTCATTCTGGAAGAAAGTTAGAGAATGGAATTCAATATGACAGGCATGTAGGAGACGGAGAATTCGGCTCAAGTATAACTAGATGTTGGTAAGCACTGAAGTACTTAAAATCCTACTGAAAGTCGCGAGTATTCCATCAAGTGCAAAATATGACATACATTTATTTCGATACAATCTTGGATCATTCTCAGACAATAATTCATTGACTACTCATCAGTACGCCCAACTTTAGTTCGGTGGACTTTTGCTACTGGTTATCAACAGTTGCATGAAGTCGTATCGCCTGGCTTCTTTAGAAATCACAGACCAAAGAATTCCTCCCAAAAATAAGTCGTAGCAAATCCCGTCCTTGTCAGCCTTGATGTTCGAACAATCATTCCAACTTGGTTTTTGATGCCATAGACGTCATAGCCATCCCCATAACTTTCTGCGTGTTTCCTTGATGTGACACCTCAGTCGCTAATCAAAAAATCAGACCTGATCAACCGCAAACATTAGGTTACACGCGCATTTAAATAAAAAATGTATGTTTTTCTACCAAACCGCTAAAAGACATCATTTAGTACAGACAGGCAATAGGGAAACAACTGTTTGCGAACGATTTCTAGAATAATTAAGCAAAAATTAACGGAACAAATGAACTGCCTACTTGGTTAGTTTTTCATAAAAATCAGAAGTTCGGTAGAAGATTTTGGAATGCATCTTATGCAAGTTACAGTATCCTAATAGCTACTATGACCCGACCTCAGTTGGCTTTCCTGAAGAGCCCAATTAATTTTTAGTGGCTCTCGGAAATAACTGTCCAATCAGCTTGTCCTACTTACCTGCATTGACGCATATTTCTTCTAATTTTACGTCATACGGACCCTTCGCCTCGTAGGTAGCTAAAAATGCTGATTTTGTTTGGGTTGTTTGATGGCTACCGCATTCCGGGAAGAAAGTCAGGCGTATACTGGTATTTCGTGAACTTTTGTCTCATTTAAACAGACTTCAAGGCCCTCCTGGACAATTATAAGGCGGATGTTGGCGTATCTGAACAGGAGACGGCGGCAGAAAAAAAGGAACAGGAGGCCTTTCTCGACAGTCTCATGCAGAGTCCCATAATAAAAGAGGTGCACAAGTATCTGGTGTCCGTACGTCTCGCACCAGCTGCTGCGAAGGATTTCAAAGAACTCCTAAGGAAACTGTGGTTTACACGGTATAGGCGTGTCAGGTAGGCCTTTCCAATGAAAACCACTTCAGTTGTTTATCTTTTTACGTACATTTGTGTGCTAAAGGGAGTGCTAGCAAAGAATAGAAAGACTGGATTTACCGTTTCTGATGTGTTAGTCGTCACCAGTTAGCCAAATCCAACCTCAGGTTTGCTTTACCTAGCACTCGAGCCCTGAACTACTTGGTTAGATCGCATTTGGTAGCCAGGAATGGGGAGGCAGACGGCGGGGTCCCTGTCATATGGGAATGGTGGGAAAGGGGTAATATGGGTGGGGTAAGTGAAAGTGCTGCTGGGCGAATGCTGGAGTTTAGGAGAAAAAATAAACGAAAAAAGCGTTGGGAAGTTTTAATAAGGTAAGTTTATGCCAGAAATTGAAAAAAATCCCGCTAAAAACAACACAGCCAGCGGAAAATGAAAGAGGTAAATAGTGATAGGATAACCCTAACCTTAACCTTAACCCTAACCATAACCCCAACCTTAACCTTAACCCTAACCTTACCGTTAACCATAACCCTAATCTTAACCCTTACCTCAGCCGTTAACCATTAATCTTTAACCGGTAACCCAAGCCCTGAAGCCAAACCATAATCGTAAACCTAATCCCCAGCCCGAACACTGAAGCCGGACCCTATAACCCAAATCCTAATCCTAAAACGCAACCTATGCCTTACCGTAGCCCTCACTAAACCTAACAGCCTGACCGAAACGGCCGACCTACCTTACGCAGTAGAAGCACACCTACAGATGGCAAGTTCCCTAGGCAAGGTAAACACACCCACTGATAACAAGTACGCACGTCGACAGTATCAACGTACAGTGCCTGCCTACCAACTGCGATCATACCAATTACTTTGTACTTCAGCGCCAAATAGTCTAAAGTTCTTCCACTGGACCCCAAACTCATTCCCCTTTCCGTCATAATCTAGTGTATTAATAATGATGGAAGGGTGCTCCCCGATCAGTCTACGGTACATGGTAGATCCGCTGCGCCTTGACGTTCAGCATAGAGTCTACGCGGGCATTCGTGTGGTTGTCAGTGTGCTGAAGCCGCATTCGCCCACATGGACGTACATCGGTGTTTAAGAGGCCAAGGATATGGTTAATGGTCGGGGTTACTAAATCGGGGACATTAGTGTTGAACATAAGAGCTGAACAGCCAAGAACTTTATGGTATCAAAAGAGTTGATGCTCCATATTGTTACCAATTAAAATGGAACACTATTTTTTGCTATCTTATGGTAATAGTAAGTAAGTACTAGTAAGTGACGTACACCGGTGTTTACGAGGCCAAGAATATGGTTAATGGCGGAGGCTACATACTCCGGGGAGCATTAGTGTTGAGCAAAAGAGCTTACTATCCACTAGCTTCATGGTATCACAAACTTTGATCCTCGATATTGTCACCAATTAAAAGGGGGC